TGATCTCCTCCTCTGCACTGCACTCCCCTTTCTTCGTCTCTCGCCGGCCTTCCGTTTTTGGTTCTTGTCCGTCCACATCCACGGAGCCGCGCAATGATGACCCAAGCCTGCCTTAAGCGTCCATCTAAGCCCGCTTGGGCAGCAGGTTCTCCCTGACGGCAAACATCTTGGCGCTGATGTTGGCCGTGAATCCGTCCACCTGCTTGCTGTACTGCTCCACCTGCTTCGCGTTCAACATGCCCTCCAACCGGCTGGGCTCCTGAGGCAGCTTGAACAGCCTCTGCCACTCGTCCTCGGGCAGCGGCGCCTGCTTGGCCGCCGCGCGCGCCGCGTTCTCCGCCTTGCGCTTGGTCTGCCACTGCGTGATCTTGGCCTGCTCGCGGCCGAGCTGGCGCTGGTAGAACTGGAAGTTGTTGAGGTCGGTGTAGTGGGACTCGATGCTCTCGAGCAGGAGGTCGCACGTCTTCTCGAGGAAGGGGTCTATCGAGAGGTCGAGGTTCTCGACCGAGGGGTGGAGCTGCTGCTTGAGGGGGTCGTCGCGCAGATCCGACAAAGAGTTGGGCGACTCGATCTTGTCCTGCTCGGGGAGGCCGGGAAGCTGGTGCAGGAACGAGGTCAGAAGGTGGGTGTTGTGAATCTCGACGGGGAGCTCGGCGAGAATGTCCTTGAAGGTGAGCTTGGAGGCTTTCAGGCTATAATGAGAAATGTCAGCATCCCAGTCGGTTTCCAAATCTTCATTCATAACACAGTCCAACATACCTCTCAGTCGTGAACTTGCCCTCCTTGTATGCCGCCATGAACGCCGGGGTGAGCTTGAAAGCGCGCAGGCTCAGGGAGCCCTGGGAGCTGCGGCTGACGTCGTGGACGAGGGCGACTGTCCGCTCGTTGTCTTTCTGGTAGTGGTACTGGTTCTCGATGAAGCTAAGGTTGACAAAGTTGCCCATGGCAGCGCTGGTGTACCAGCCGACGTTGTTAGCGTCGACGTTGACCTCCTTCAGGTGCTTGATCATGTCGTTCTGGTAGACAATGTTGGCCTTCTGGCGGGGAGCGGCGGCAGCGAGGGCTGAGGCATCGTTCTGGTGGCTGTTTTGGTGGCTGTCGGTGCTTGCGACGTCGACCGTGGGGAACTGGAAGGTGTTTGTGATCTCGAGGAGACCGTCGGCGTCCATGCCGACGATGGAACCGGTGGCGGTCGTGGGGAAGGTCGCGGAGCCATGCTTGACGATTTTCATCACCACCTAGAGACACGTCTGAGGTTAGCGACATTACACATCCTCTGCCATATATCCCTCCATCATGACTGCAGTGCAGCATGAAGCCCCAATGTGAGGAGAGGTGGGGCAGAATTCGGGCAGGACTCACAAGGGCCTCAACGCGGACCGCCGTGAGCGGCACCTCCTTGATAACGTCACCCATATTTGCGATACGATCGGGAGAGTTTCGTGCAGGTTCAAAAATTCGGTGGCCTGGTTTTGAGTCTGCGGCTGCGGGATCGTTGGTGTCGCGTTAACTTGGCGGTCGGAATTCGAGGAGAGGGGCGGCAGTCGTCTCGTCGTGTTGCGAAATATCGAACTTTTCGCTACAACGAATTGTGGGAGGGATTGTGGGCTGTCGGGCGGTGTCAGGCGGCAGAGTTCACTGGAGAAAAGGTCATGTGATATATTCACCCCCTCAAGTTCCGTTAAGCCCACCCCCTCCGGACCGGCCGTGGACGGACCCACACCGCCGTCTTTCTCTCCCACGGTGATCCGTAACAGATTCCACACGCCACGTCCTGAATGGGAGGGCATCCCACTCATTGCCCCCACGCCGAAAGCACTCAAGTCGAGTTTAAATTCAACGTCGTCTCATCTCGTCGTCCTGCGCTTTCCTCCTTCCATCTTCCTCTTCATAACCTGGCCCATTCGACTCTCCTGCTCCTGAGCATCATTTTGCGATATCACTCGGGGGGTGTTTTGTGCCCATGTCGGGTTGTACATGTCGATAAAATGAAAATGATACATTACAGCCGTGATTCAGCACCTCTGGAAGTCCGAGCTCTCTCACCTGCTTCAGTATTCGCCATCCCCTCGTCTTTCGCTCATCAGCCAGAATGATTTGCAACAGGATCATCACTTGGATGCAAGTGTAAGGTGGGATAGGTACGGCGCGTTGGATCTATGCGTTTGTCTATTACGCTATCTATGGAGGAAAAGCCAATGGTTTCTTGGCTGTATAATGCTAAAGTATTCAAGTGCGCCCATGTCATACCCTCTTATGCCGCGTACCATACGCTCTGTTTGTGGTGTCTCATTGCTCATTGACCAGTCCGATTGCGACATTTTCTCACAATCACCAAACGCCGCAAATAGTCACTTTTGTTTTACCCGCCCATCCGTCTGAAAGAGGGTGCTCTCAGTCAACCCAATCGACAATCTCCCAGCTTTCGGCCCCGTCACGAACGATGAGGCGGTGTCGATCAATCTTCCAGAACGAGTACATGGACGCTGTCGCACGACTTGCTCGACGATGAGCCTGACCGTGGCCGGCTTTGACGGCATCTGGTCTCGACCGCCAGACGCACGTTGCCAAATTTCTTCCTTCTGAGTCGGGACTTCCGAACCAATATCTGCGGGCGAGTTAGTCTCTTGTCCTTCTTTGTCTCTATTTCCTCGTCATTTCTCTTACTTCAAGAATCCCCCGAATTGGTTGGCTTCGGCATGCGCGGCCTTGTCCAACACGCCGAGATCTTCATAGATTGTTGATGGCGGGATCGTCGAGCGGAATGCCACAATGTAAAAGGAAGTTTCCTTGAATGTTTTCCCAGTGAATTGGACGAGGCGCTTGAGCTCGCCGAGAACTTGGTCCCAATTGAAGGATTCAACGTAGCCGGCCGTGGCGTAGTCCGCGCGGAGGCACTCCATCTGAGACAACGCCCTGGCGAGGAGGGCGTTTTCATCATCCAGGGTCTCGAGATCTAGCAAGTGCTCTGGTTCTGTGTAGGGAGAGTGGACGAGGAATCTGTCCGTGTTGTTGATGTCGACCTCAGCTATGTTGATGGCTGTATTCTCCTTGATACTTTGGGCCAGAAGGTCGACGCCCAATGGGGCCGTGGTCACAACGGCAGTCATGATGATGATCCGGAGCAATGCCTCTGTGATTGTGCTGGAATGAAGAGCCCGGGTGGCTTTGAGCTGTTGGATCAAGGTATCCCAGAGGGCGCTTGAAGGAATTACCGAGAAATGATGTGGGTGAAGAGCAACGAGCGAGTGGTGTAAGGGGCAGACTCGGCTCAGCACAAGTTGAGGCTACGTTTTGGTGTTTCGTTATCTGGGACAGAAAGACGACAAACATCTGAAAACCAAAAAGACGAAAGGACGAAAATGGGCGTCGAGTCTGAAATATAAGAACAGCACAGCACAGCACACCATCCAGAGTCAGAGACGTGTCGGGCAGGGGGCGTCGAGGAAACGTCTTTTCGACACGGGATTGCCTAACCCAAGCCCAGGTGGGTCGGGAGCGACTAACACCTTACACACCGTCGAGCGACTCGGTGCGAGTCAAGTGCAGCTGACCAACCCGGTGTGCCGGTCAAAGAAGCGGTGTTCATCCCTCAACCATGCTTAGGGAGTCTGGGACCCCTTTTTCTGGGCTGTTGCATGGGACTGGACTTTGCCTAGGTAGCAAATCTGCGACCCGGGTGGGCAGCTAGGCGGGCACGGCGGGCTAATCCAAGATATGGATCATCTCAAAAAGAGAAGAGGAAAAAAAAAAAGAATTTCGCCGGACGTTTGCATGCTATGCAGTAGGGGGGAAGCATGCAAGCATGGGACAGCCATGGATGGTGCGGTTCGGTACGGAGTACGGATACGGACGGTACTGATGGGCGCAAAGGAGCGACCAGTTTTGGAGGGATTGCGCAATCGGATGTGGTTCTGATGCCAGAGACGTGTGTAATTTTGGATATGATGCGCAATGCGTCTCTTGAGACTTTGACTCGGTTTTTTTAGACTCTCAATTTCATTGGCAGGGCCCTTTGGAGAAAAACGGTAAGGGAGTTGAGTTGCACAAAAGTACGGGACACTTGAGTTACGTTTGCTAATTGTCAAAGCAGAAGCGCAACAAGAGCACCAAAGAAGGGGAAAACATGGAGTGATGAGCATAGACATACGTAGTAGGACTTTGGGGCGAGAAACTCGCCAGAAACTCTGGGCTAACGACAAAGGATGGAGAAAAGAACGGACGGCCAAGCCTGGCTGGATTTGGTTCTGGCGGTGGTGTTGCTTTAGAAGCCCAAACGACGAGTTGGAGCAGCGAGTTCCCCCGCATTCTTCACTGACGCTACACTGGGCCCAAAACGTCTAGCCGTAGGGCTAACAAAAAGGGTGAGGGTGAGGTGGATGGGATGGTTTGGCAACGTTGGTCGAGGTATGGTAGGTAAATGGAGGAAAAGAAGCAAAAGCTTGTGGGAGCCCTCAAGGTGCCGCGGTGCCTACCCTTTTGCCTTCATCTCTGCATTCTGACTTTTTAGGGGCCGGCAGAGTTGCAACTTGTGCTCTATCACACCGAAACTATTGGCCGACAACTTTTTGCATCGGCAGGCTGGCGTATCCCGGCATCAACGCACTGGCGGGTAAAAATCCACCCCAACAATGCGGCAACATTGGATTGTCAATGAGGTGGTCGGGTGTCAATGTTCAGGCCGTGTTTCGGAGACTCTTATGTCTTCCTCAATCACTCTCGCCGCTTCACTTTGTCTCCCTATACCATATTTGCGACTTTCAACAACGACCAGACGATTTGGCACGCCGTAACTCTCATGCATCTCGTATCATTGCCGCCTTTGCTAAGTTGATGCTGATAACAGGAACCTAATTCTATAGATACACGTATCCGGAGAGATACACTTACAGCAAACTTTCTTAGGTTCCTGCCGTCGTCACCGCCGGTTGTTATCTCTCCAAATGCACCCTGCTAATCTCACATATGCACGTTTTCTGCTGCTTCTCTTCCGCCCGTTCTTACAGCCCTCCGACAACTTCCGATTCGTCCTTGCCCCGAGTGAGCCATACCTTTGACATTTCGTACGTGCCTAGGTAGAGACCGCTGCCGACGGCCGTCCACACGGCACGCAAACCTCCACCGCGGAACAATCCGCGCACGCCGTGTCGTCGATACACGTCCCGCGTCACCTCTAAGCTGCCGCGCTTCGGCTTCGACCTAGGACTCACCGATTTCTCAACATGTGAAGGCGACGAATTGCTGTGGCTGTTATCGCCGGCTTCTCCCGCGCTCAGCATCATCCGCGTCTTGACGACGTCGCTCGGCGTAGTGATGAAGGCCGCAAACGCGCCCGCTGCGCCCGCGCTGGTCCCCGTGACTACGGCTGTTTCTACGAGGCCTTGCTCATTGCCCTCTGCCCTCCCTTGCGACCGAGAGGTCCAGACTGTTTTTCGCACATGCTCAAAGATGGGGAATTGAATCGCGGTAAAAGGGAGGTTGCGCGCGACAAGGGCTGTGTAGCCGGAGAAGAGACGCCTCTGCGCCCCGGAACTTGTGACTCGTCGCAGGGCCTCGAGGGAAGTTGATCGCCTGGTACTGTCGCTACTGTTGTCTTGCTTCCGTAACATTTGCGCATTTTGTTTGATGACTTCTGCTGGTGCGAGGACAAGGCATGAGCCCATCTCTGCAATGGCCGAGGCTGAGGCATGCACAAACGGCTGAGGGAGCAAATTAGTGCCGGAGATGGTTTTCTTCATGCTTTCATACGTGGCGAAGAATATCCCGGCTGGCAAGTTTACAAGCTTATCAGTACCGTTCATATCGTATCTCGCCGTGATGCGCGAGAATGTATGGGAGACTTGGTGTACTAACCTGCCGGTAATGTGGCTAGCACCACACTCCCAATGCCCTGGTAGAGGCCCCGGAAGAGGGGCGCTTTGCTTCCTGATGTCGAGGCATACGTCTTGACAAAGTCTTGGCTCTGATATCTGGTCTTGATGGTGTCCAGAGGGTAGACGAGACAGTCTACTGTGAACGCCGCCGCAGCCCCGGCCTGGATCTGTCAGTCAGGAGTAAGGGCTCAACCGCCCCAGGTAGGATGTACTCACAGCGTATATCTCATACATTTTGGACTGATCTCAAATATCTTGACACCTATATGTATGAGACGCAGTGCTCATGTCTTTGAGGAAAACCTCAAATTTCGGCGGGTTTGGCCATGTCACTGGAGCGATGAATGACATCATCCTTGCTGAATTGGGCTCAGTCCAGTGCCCTTGATCGTACCTGCCCTGAGGCATCTGAAAATGACGATTCATTTCACTACATCTGGAGGTCTGTTACTTGAGCTTTATAATACTGCCTTGATTCGTTTGAAGAAAGTATCACAAGAAATAAATCTACAAAGATATAACATCTCAGCTTCTTCAACTGCTTGAATTCATTGACACCGAACACCACCTTGATAGGTCAGGTAGAGTGAGTGAGTGGCTGGAGCTGTAAGGTGGCTGAGGTGGACCCCTGGAGCGATAAGATAAGGGACAGAAAGTGCCCCGCCCCCGCCATGCGCAGGTGTGCCGCGCCGGGCGATTGATTGACTCTTACCAAAACTTTTTTCTCCTCCGCCTTCGTTTTTTTCTTCTCGCCGCAAAACACGACCGCCAACAACACGCATATTCTCCTTTTCCAGCAAGCAAGCAAGCACTTCAAGATGGCGAGCGCTATTGAAGCCGAGGCCGAGGCGCCTCACAACATGTTTGACGTACGTCTACTCCCTTCGCCCTCATCAATGCCCCCCAATACGACCCCCAGGAACTTTGACTATGTGGAACCCGCTGCCCACAACACATCGCGATCACCGACACGACCAGCCAGTACCTCGAAAAAGTGCTGGAATCCTCGAAACCGACCTCCCGAACTCTTCTATGCACGTGAATATCTGCATTGAGTCGACATCGCGAATCGAAATACCCTGCGACAGTCTTGGATCACGACTACTGCTGCGTGCGCGAATGCAACACAGCTTAAGGGCCTAGTGGGAGTCATATCAGATGAGTCGAAAAGCAGCGGTCAACCGACCACGCAGAACTTCCTCAATACTAGAACTCGTATACTCGGGCACGCGACGAGCTTTGGCACACAGCTCGCGCCTACCGAACTCTTCCACTCGAACTCTCGATTCTCCACACAACCGCAATAAACGAGTCACCAAGCGCCAATGATGTCGACACAGTCAAACTTCTTTGGTGCTGCAAAAGTCATGTTCATTTCAGATAACTGACAAACTGCGTTCTAGACCATCCTCGTTCTCGACTTTGGTTCCCAGACCAGCCATCTCATCCTCCGTCGCCTGAGATCCCTCAAGGTCTACGCTGAGATGCTGCCCTGCACAACCAAGCTGGCCGATCTTCCTTTCAAGCCCAAGGGTATCGTGTTGTCTGGCGGCCCCTCGTCCGTCTACGACCAGGACTCTCCTCGTAAGGAAACCTCTTCAGCAAGTAGAGTAGAGCTCTTTCTGATACTGTAAAGACGTCGACCCCGCGATCTTTGATCTCGGCGTTCCCATTTTGGGTATCTGGTATGTTAGCCAACACCTTCGTAGCGGAATCATGTACTCATCGATGTGTGCAGCTACGGTTGCCAGGTAATTCTCGATCCGATATATCCCCCTTGCTTTCGACTGCACGAGGACGCTTTCTCGTCTTACACCAAGACTCCGGCGGTACATTCTAGCGAGACGAATAGCCGGCTAATTATGTGCAGGAACTCGCCTGGAGAATCAACTCCAAGAACGTGGCCCGCGGAGAGGCCCGAGGTCAGTCACTCTTGGGGGATCAAGGTGGATTATGGAACAGTCACTCTGACCTGTCCATTGTGCAGAGTACGGTCACGCCGATGTCACTATCCTCAACTCCGGCAACTCCCACACCGATCGCCTCTTCGCTGGTCTGGGAGAGACAATGCAAGGTGAGCTTCCAAATATTTCAGAAGTCCCCTCATACTCTGTTGCCCAATGCTGACTTTCACGGTAGCATACATGAGTCACTTCGACAAGGTAAATCAGCCTGGGTAGAGAGCATTTGGACGTTCCGAAGCAGTTTTTCTGAAATCAATGCAGTTGGTGGCTCTTCCCGAAGGATTCACCGTCGTTGCAAGCACGGCAAACTCTGAGTATGCCGGAATCGCCCACCAGACCAAGCCAATTTACGGTATGTCGATCCCGATCAAAATCCAACGTTATGCAGTCTGGCGAATCCACACCATCTCGTTCTATCAGTTATCATCGTCTCTACGCTTTGGACTATGGCTGACTTGATACTCTGAATCCTGCAGGCGTCCAATTCCACCCTGAGCTGGTTAGTCCTATTAATTCCCCTGAACCTTTGTAGAAATACGACTAACTTTGCATAGGAGCACGTAAGTTGAATAACTTCCGAAAACCCCCTTAGTACGGAGGCATTTTCCTCGCCGAATACGGCGATCATATTCCGGCGATCAGCATGGCGCCCGTTATGGGGCCATTGATTATTATGGAGGACCGCCGGCTCAGACGCCGTCCGCACAGTTTTGATGACACGAACGCACACTGACATAGCAACTTAGACACCTCGCGGCAGTGAGATCCTGAAGAACTTCGCCGTTGATATCAGTGGCGCCAGACCCAACTGGGTGATGGAGGACTTCATTCAGAAGGAGATCATCCGCATCAGACACCTTGTCGGCGACAAGGCGCAGGTCATCGGCGCCGTCTCTGGAGGTGTCGATTCCACTGTCGCTGCCAAGCTTATGAAGGAAGCCATTGGTATGATTAGATGCCCATCCAAGAAGCTCAGGGGGAGACTAACTTTTCATCAGGCGATCGCTTCCACGCCATCCTCGTCGACAACGGTAAGGACCACGGCACCACAATCAGCGCAAAACGGTATACTAAGTTCATTGTGATAGGCGTCATGCGTCTCAACGAGTGCGAGCAGGTCAAGGAGACTCTTGAGAAGCACCTTGGCATTAACCTCACCGTCGCTGACGGAGCTGAGCTGTTCCTTGGTCGCCTGAAGGGTGTCACCGAGCCCGAGAAGAAGCGCAAGATGTCAGTATACTTGATTACATGTATTGACCTCTCTAATACGGTAGCAGCATCGGCGCAACCTTCATCGACCTTTTCGAGAAGGAGGCTCTTAGATTGGAGAAGGAGGCCGAGAACACCGAGAATGCCGGACCCATCACTTGGTTCCTCCAGGGCACACTTTACCCCGATCTTATCGAGTCCCTCTCCTTCAAGGGACCCAGTGCGACTATCAAATCTCACCACAACACCGGCGGACTTCCGGAGAAGATGAAGGTAAAGATTCTTCTGAAGCGGCTGGAGTGTTTACGGGAAGGAGATCTTCCGCTTCCAATTCCTGTCCTCTGTTTACTCTAGCTGACTTTCTTGCAGCTCAAACTCATCGAGCCCCTCAGAGAATTGGTTCGTTTCCCCAAATCCTCTTCCGTCCTCATCCTGTGATCTGTCACACTCGGATGACAGTAGGACATGTACTCAAAGCGGGGTTGTGTCTATTTGGCCGACACGAAACTGCGTCGCACTTTCACTGCATTTTCGCTCTCGCTTAGAGTATTTTCTACGTCCCATACTGACTCCCGCAAATAGTTCAAGGATGAGGTTAGAGAGTTCGGCAGACAATTGGGCATCCACCAAGATCTGGTCATGCGTCACCCGTTCCCCGGCCCCGGTGTAAGTACCAGATCGCCAGCCGTCCTACACGTAGCTAGTCTAACACCAGTCAGATTGCCATCCGCATTATTGGAGAGGTGACACCCGAGAGAGTCGCCATTGCCCGTGCTGCCGACAACATCTTCATTTCTATGATCAAGGAAGCCGGAATCTACAATGAGGTGAGTCTCAGCCCTTTGATTTTCCTGGGATAGTCGCTTACCGTTTTGTAGATGTCCCAAGCATATGCTGCTGTGGACTCCAACAAGGGTACGTTGCCAGACTTTTTGGTGTTCAAAATCCGTCACACCGGCCGGTTTCTTTGCTAACGAATGATGTCTTTGCAGCTGTTGGAGTTCAAGGTGATGCCAGAGTATGTCCCTCCCTTCCGATATGTGGATAAAGCAGACGACTAACTGTCCTAGGTTTACGGCTACATTATCATGTAAGCGCCATCACTAAAGCGCCTCCTGCTGGCAACCTTGCTTGCTTGTCTCCTTGGTCATCTCCCCCGATCAATCAACTGACAATCATTCTTAGTCTCCGCGCTGTTAAGACTCTGGACTTCATGTCCGCGGAGCCTTACGAGTTCGACTTCAACCTCCTTAAGAGGGTATGACTAGCTCCTCCTCCTCTTCGTTAACTATGGTTGCTGACTTTGGATCCTTCAGATCTCGACCCGTATCATCAACGAAGTTGACGGCGTCGCCCGCTGCACATACGACATCACGTCGAAGCCCCCCGGAACGATCGAAATGGGTTCGTAGCTTGAATCACCTGTCTCATCTTTGCAGGCACTCGTTAGAACCCATCGCTAACTGAGAACAGAGTAAAAATTGGGAATTTTGGATAGAACAAGTAGACTCAGGCTTGCAAACTCACGTCTTTTTTTCGTCAAAACTTTGGATCCCTCGGTGAAAATTCAGTCGAGCCGAACCATGGCATGGGTTATCCGCGACGACGAACTAGAATGTTGCCGCACAAGCCACGTTGGACGAGAGTTCTATCGTCCGTCTTCGTGTTTCCACCTCGCATCGTCATTGCTCAGATTGCATCTCATGGGACATTTTGACGACTTCTGCGTCGTCAATTTCTTCTCTCGACCGCAACCAACGTGAAAGCAAGATAGCTTGCGATCCAACAATGGCCAAAGCAGACACTGTTTGGCGTGCCCAAGCTAGTCAGCAGTCCGCGCATGTCGATCTCCCTAGTCTGCGAAACCATCTCGCTAACAGAAACAGATGTGCCGGTAACACCACTTTGAATTCGCTGGCGTCCAACCCAAATCACACCAATGATGGAGAACTTCCTCGGTTTCTGCTGAGAGCCAAGAACCTTGAGCATCTTTGCTGCACATCTACGACGTGACGAGTGTCATTCGTCTCTGGAAGGTCTTCATTCCAGCCTTGGCGATGTCGCACCGCTTCGGAAGCCTCTTCTGCACCGCCGGTCATCGGCCGAAACGCCCCAACAGCACCATACAGTTAACCTGGAAGCACCAGCAAGATACGGAAGGTAGATTTTCAAGGCCCGCCGACTGCGGATTTGCCCTGCAAGAAAACCCGGGTCTGCTTGCTGTCAAGCTCGGTCTTGCAGATCTCATCCGGGCGGGGTGGTCCCATCTCCATGCTGTGCCACCGCCTTGACATCTCGAGTTTGGTTTCACGAAATTTGATGTCATGTTAGAGAAAGAGAGAACGACAGACACTTCTTTCGCGACCGAATGAGTTGATATTGGAAGCAGCTTTACTCTGTTCTAGAAAATCCCACAATTCGCAACGTCGCACGAAACGCGCCCCGTTTTTAGATTGTTGTGTAGACTCATTTGCCATGTGGTCTTCCAAAAAGGCGCTGCTGAAAAGTTGAGGCGAGCGCCTCAGGAACAAGGGGAAGACGGACTCAGGTTTTGCCTCGTTTCTTTCTCCTGTCTTGGATCACGAATCTCAGCCACCTCGGCTCCAGCTGCGAAGAAGACGAGCAAATGAGGGCAAGAAGGCGTGGTCTCCACGCGATATTCACGTTCGATAGCCCGTCCTCGTCCACCTCGAGGCCTTCTAGATCAGCGCCTCACTATATTCTTTGAAGTCTTGTATTCCCACATTCATCCATCGCCTCCTCGTGGTCTCCGGGGACAAAATTCGCAACCCGGGATCCGAACAGAGACAACGCCACGGGCTCGATAGAACATTCCAAAAGGGTTTCTGTTACATTTCGAAATCGTTAGTTTCAACGATGGAAGGCCAGGATTAGCCATCACGGGGGGTAAATGGGCTGACTGTCCAGGCCCAGCTGAGGTCTTGAAAGGCAGCCATGGCTTGAAGAGTCTCATGCAATGGCGTTGGCGAGCCACGCGAGTTGCGCGCTCAAGATTCGGCCGCGGAGAAATTGGCAATAAATTACGCCGTATGACAGACGAGAGAGGCACACACATAACACGCACCCACTTAGCGAACACACGCACACTTGGCGGATGAGGCCCAATGGTCTCGTGATGCATCCGCGCCTATCGCCGAATGGGAGACATTTCACGACTGGTGGGTGTGAATCGCCTCACTCAACATGGCTAAGTGTTGGTCCGGAGGATACACTCCTTCGAGTTTGCCGACTTACGCCCAAATGCGCCTCTATGGTTGCCGATCATTCGCAGAAAGCAAGCTGCAGTCAGCCGTCAGTTGTATTCATTAGCCAACTTTGTGTCATTTCTTGCGTATAATGTCGCGGATCGTGATCTACAGATAATTACTCAATCGGTGCCGTACGTCTGTGTACTCCGATGGATCGGTACCGTGTAACTGGTTCTTGGGCCGAGGTTTTGGGAGAGAGAGAGTGTGTGAGGGTTAGAACACAAACCAAACACCAGACAGAGAGAGACAGACCCCTCATCGACGATTGAAGCCGTTTGTGTGGGAAAAGGTTAACTTGAGCGGGAAACGGCCGTGCATGTTGTAAGTGAGAAGTGAGAGATTCCTCAGCTCAGCCTCCTCCTCACCAACAACATTTCGGCCAGCTAACAATATCGGTCCCGAGGACTGCCCTCCATGTCAGATGGAATGGCAGCGCTAGGACGCTCTCACCGCCGTCATCCCCCACTTTCGTAAAATCCAATGCCCGTTTACTGCCTCGTGTGCAAAATCCCCATGCTTCGTAAACGAACAAGTGTTGACATTGCGGTGGCTTTGGGAACCATAGAGCTTGCCCCTTTATTCGGGGGCTGAACAACATTTCTCGACAACCAGCCCTTACCAATGGATTCAGCCCAAGTTGCACCAGCCTGCCTGAGACAGCATGTACCACCCCTCCTCAACACATAGTGGTGGTTGTTGATTGTATTACCTCGAGCACGAGGTTGACTGATGTGCAATCATCTTGTTGGAGGGAAGCGGGCCCATGTGGCTGCTCCAGAAGGAAGGGGAACCAGTGTGTCCAATATCAGACGGTGATGCAAAGCCAAATCAGGAAGATGGACGTCCACGGCAGGGCTCAGCTCTCTCCAAAACACTAAGTCGTCCTAAGATTTCTTTGGTCTGGAGTCTATTGTCCTTTATTCCCTTTGTTTTACATTGGAGTGTTATAAAGTTGGAGGGTTCGTCCACTCTTTTTTTGGCTTTCCCGTCTGGAAGATCATCAACAACCACTTAACTGGCGCTTAAACTTAGTCATTCGCTTGGATGCCGATGCCGCCATCACCAATTTTCACTCAAAGACTCCACTCTGACTCGCACTTGGAATACCACCACCGATCTACAGACACACTAAAGTCACTATACCTTATTCTCACTTCTATACTTTAAGCCTCTTTTGGGTTCCGTACCCTCAAAAGTCTTGGGGAAAAGAAGAACTAGTAGTATTCGACTTCCCCGGTCGACATCCCTGTCTTACCAACCTCAACTTACATACTTACACACATACTTACACACATACTCACACACGACAAAATGGCGTGTCCATTCCTTCAAGGCACGCTCGCCCAGCCGCCGCGGCAAATCTCAGCGGAACAAGAGTTCGCCAACATCCGCTCACAATACCCATCTCTCTCTTCGACGGGCTGCACGGCAAAGTTTTGCCAGTCCGGTCGGATGACGCACATGGACGAGGAGCGCGTTGGCCGGAATCAGTCCTACGCGCAAGTCCGCGAGGATGCGCTCGACTTCCTCCAGCAAATGTACAAGGACAGTCTCATTGACACGGAGCAGCTTCACCACCGGGCACACGAGGTCCTTCAGGAGATTCAAAAGAACTCGACAGAGGGCAAGTTCACAACGGCGTCCGAATGTGGATCGGAGGCGCCACCGGCAGCAACGGTTGGCTTGGTGGGTGGCCTTTGGACGCAGACTTTTGAAGAACTCGAGTTCGGGCTTCGGACGGCTTGGAAGCATGCTCGGAAGTGCATCATGCGATCAGAGTATAGCAACTTGAGGTATGAGAAAGATTCGGATGTGATGTCGAGTTATTTACTAATAGTCTTTGGCAGGCTATGCGACCTGAGACATGTTCGCACAAGCAAAAAGATGGCCGAGACTCTCATTGAGAACTTGAGAGTGGCCTACAACTCGGGTGAAATCAACCCGACAGTCTTTGTCTTCCCTCCCAGAGACATTGACAGCCGCGGTCCCATGATCTGGAACTCACAACTCTTGTCCTTTGCAGGGGTAAGTCTTTCTACCTCCCAGTATGAGAACCGATCAATTGACTGACACGGCCAAGTACCAGCAATCAAACGGCACAATCCTCGGAGACCCCGCCAACGTGGAACTCACAAACGCCATCATCGAGCTCGGCTGGACACCGCCGCGCTTCCGCTCACAATGGGATCTGCTTCCCCTCGTCACCATGGCCGAGGGAGAAGAGCCCGTCATCACCGAGCTCCCCAAGGACGCATTCCCTCTGGTACATATCCGCCATCCCAAGCACCCTGAGCTCGAGACCCTTGGCCTGCGTTGGGTTCCCGCGCCGGCACTCAGCCGCCTTGGCTTCAGTATCGGCGGTGTCCAGTACACCGCTGCGCCCTTTATTGGATGGTGAGTTGAACTTGTTTTGAGGTGCAAGAATTACATCATTGACAAAGCAAACGCAGGTTCATGGACGCTGAGATCGGTGTTCGCAACCTCGCAGATTCCTTCCGCTACAACGCGCTTCCGCAGGTCGCCAAGGCGATCGGCTTGGTCGATGGCGATGTAGATGACCTCCCCGACTACGAGCGTCTGGCGGTGCTGGTAAGCATCTCTTCCATATTGCTTACATCTGAGATGCGTCTGCTAACATTACCAACCAGTCCCGCGCGCAGCTCGAGCTCAACTACGCCACATACTGGTCTTTCGCTCAGGCTGGTGTCAGAATGTCAGATTCCCTTGGCGCGGCCGAGCAATTCGCCCAGTTCGATGACGAGCACCTCATGAACAACGGCTTCCGCCTCCCCTCTGACCCGTACTGGCTGGCACCGCCTCAAGGATCCATCATTCCCATCTGGCACCGCGGCGGCTCACCAAACTACCAACCAAAGCCCTTGATCTGCCGCCACGCCCAAGATCCCATCAAGGCCTGGCGCCGGCAACGACAGGCCCGCCCCGCGGCGCGGCCTTCTCACCACTACGCCTCGGACACGAAGCTCAACATCTCCATCCCCGTGGTGCCCTCCATCTCCCTCACGAGGCCCGTCACGCCAGTCTCCCCCTTCGGCACCGCCTCCTCCCCGTCGACGTTTCTCCCCATCCCTCCTCCGGCTTCGCAGCAACAGCAGCAGCAGGCCTTCAGGCCCACCACGCCCCTG